TATTTAACTTCAAATGGCCAACTAAAAAGGCAACCTGACAGTATTTGAACATAAACCGGACCTGCAACAGACAGCCTACAGACACTTAAACATACTTAATATTAACACTTAAATAACTTAAATAAATATTGAGCTCTTCATTTAATACACTAGGAGAATGCAGGATAATCAATAACAGTGGTGTGAGTTGTTAACTTTGTTAAGATAGTCTTTATCTGCTGGCCTTCTACTGTAATACACCCTTATGGTTAATGAATTGTTACCTACAGGAACTTTAATTACAATGTTTTCACTGTTTGTTTTTACAGGTAACAGCTAGCCAATGTTAATCATTGACAGTGGACCGCAACGTGATTATGGTGTTTTCATGAGTTGCTAATAGCATATTCCATTCATATTCCCCTTTACATGTTCCAGAGCATAGTGTCTGATTATGACTCACATCATCACATCCAGAGTTCTGTTATCGCACAGGTCAGGATACTACACATCTTAGACTGATTGTTGCTTATTCTGAGTATGACCTCATTCATGTTAAGGTAATGAGAAACAATAACAACTGTTATTATCATTATTAATAATTGGTGGTATCATGAACAACGAAATTACATTTATAAAAATCGCTTATTATTTTCATTATAACTGACAATTAGACAGAGCTTAAAGATGATGGTTTCCACAACGGCTCCTGGTCTCCCTCTTCCTTCTCTCACCCTTTTCCACCCACCTCTCACCCCAGCCGGTGGAGGCGGATGGCGGCCCACATTGAGTCTGGTTCTTCTTGAGTTTTCTTCCGATCAGACAAATGTTGGACCCATTGGGTTTCACTATAATTTTTAACTTCTAAAAACATGTTCTGAGTCTCCAAGAGAGTTTCAGAGCCGCTAAAACTGAAAAGTTCGTTAAGGCTGCTGGAACTGTTTGCCCTTTAGTCTTGATGGACAGAAACATTGATGTTTGGAAACAATCAAGTCTTTTTTTGGTGGAAAAACACACAAATGCATGAGACCAATAGAAAAAGACAGAGGGTATTTATTTTCTTTATTTGATTTGATTACATCGGTGAGTTTTAAACGTCCTATTGCGTGTGAATGCACCGCTACGCAGGCCACTCAGCTCGGAGGTGGAGTCCAGGTGTGAGTGTTTCTGCTCTCCGCCATAGCAATGAGGGCAGCTAGCTGCTGAGAGGGAAAAAAGAGAAAACTCTGGAATTAAACCGTGAAAAGAGAAAGAGAGAGCCAGGACACTTACCTCCTGGAAGTCCGGGGCCGAGTGACTACACAAAGGAGACAAGTGACGTCGGTAAGACGAGTTGTTTATCGGATAAAAAAAAAAAAATGCTCGTTAGCCGTCATCGTCCATGCTAATGCTAGCTCTGGGTCTCACAGGCTAACCTTCCACCTGGAAGAGCCGCTGCAGGCTTCTACATCGGTGTCCTCGGCTTTGGACCACAGAGCAACGGTGAGGACCGAGTCTCTGTAGCTGCTCTGATGCTGTTTTCTGTTGTGTCGCAGTGTGGTGGGTTTAAACCAGGGGTCACCAACACGGTGCCCGCGGGCACCAGCTAGCCCCCAAGGACCACCGGAGTAGCCCGCAGACCAAACAACACAACTCACCAGTGAGCTGATCTTAAATTTGATATGCGTTTCTAATTCAATTTAATTATTTATTTTCTATACTGTCAAATGTTTATTCTCATATTGAAGTTGATTATTGACTGATTTTTCTAAAAGAGTTTGTCAGTGGCTAGTGAAAATGGAACATTTTCTTTTGAAATGTTGTAGAAGGGATCATCTGAAAATTTTAATTGCTGAGATTAATATATTGATATTATCTGTTTCCCACCTTATTAAGTCATTGTTGATAATTATTGTGACAAGTCATTAACACGATCAGTGTCTTCGCATAGATGAGTATCATTTCTCATTTATAATAATATATAACTAAAGGCAAACTGAGCAAATGTGTTATTTCAGAAGAGTGGATCAAACTGGTAGCCCTTTGTAAGACTCAGTACCCATGAAGTAGCTCTCAGTTTCAAAAAGGTTGGTGACCCCTGATGTAAAGTAACCAGAAGGGTAGTTTTTGGTGAAGTTTCTCTCCTATAGTGTAGGAGTAATTAAGCACACTTCTTTGATACCTCTGCAACAAACTCATGTGTACTGTTACTTTATTTGTGCATGTTTGTCTGGTTTGATATGGTTATGATATATGATACTTTGAATGTTAATGGTTACTTACCATACATATTATTGATATTGCCAATTTGTGGCCCCAGTCCTGCATTGACTGCATTCACCATATTTTTGGCATTGTCTGTAGTAACAGGGATTGTGCTGCTGCCACTCAGCAGCTTGTATGGCTCTCATAAAGGGGGCGTGTCTGTAAAACAGAGCTTTTCATCTCCCGTTCTGAGGTAATGTAGTGGGCAGTCACAGTCAGGAAACTTTCAGTAGCCCTGGAGGTCCATCCATCACTGTTTAGCGCTACAGAGGCTGTGTCAGACAACTCTTTAACAATTCCTTGTCGGGTCTCTTCATAAAGTGCGGGAATTACCGTGTTGCTGAAGTGTTTGCGGGAGGGGATTTTATATCGTGGCTCCAGTGCTTTAATCATAGAACGGAATCCCGCACCCTCCACTACGGAATAAGGCTGCGTTATCTTTGGCTATGAAATATCCAACTCCTTTAGTTATGCATTTCGCCCCCTATCTGACTCGTCACTGTATGGCTGTTTAAAAGCTGAGGGGAGTAGAAGTTGTCCTGTCGACTCTCTCCCTCTCCTCCTTGCGCTGCCAATTGTCTCACTGGGATGATGTCTCCGCAGGTGAGCTGACATGTTGGTTGTGTTGCTGTTAGCGTAAACAACACGTGTTGCACAATGCTTGCACACCGTCGCACTTTTGTCAACAACTTTCTTACCGCCGTCGTCGTAGGTCACTCTAAATGCAAAGTGGTCCCACACAGCAGACCTATAAAGTGCTGCTGGCGCATCTTCTAACTCTGGCTCTTTTCCACACGCCATACCCACACTATTCTCTACAACAACTGACCCAATACTCTATTTCTATCTGCTACACCCGGCTACGCTGCTTCGCTTCTTCTTGTTGTTTACTACTGGTGGTTGGCTTTAGGCGCAGTACCGCCACCTTCTGTTCTGGAGTGTATACGCTTCGCCTATGAGAAAAAGGAGCAGCGCATAAACCGAACGCAACACACGCGAATTGAACCGAGACAGTCGAACTGAGCGGTTCGGACGGTTTTCATATACCGTTCCATCCCTATTACTTACCATAAGTATTATTGAAATACTGTTCACTTGAAAAGTTTAACATGTGAGTTCCTGAATGTTAATGCTCATATTTGATATAATTGAACATTGAATGTTGTACAACTAAAAATTAAAGCTTCGACGTTTGATAAGATGGAAGATTTATGTGTGAGATTTGATGCAATATTTAGCATATTTGACATTTAAACCCTCCATCTGAGAATAGAGTGTAATAGATATGACTTTGTTTATAGGTCAGGTTTTTGAGAGGACGGGGAAAATCCAGACCAGGACAAGATTGTGGTCGTGACAGATGGAGAGCCAGGAACGTTGAGGAAGAATCACAGCGAAGGAGGTACACCCTCATACACACATACTTTTACATTACACTTCCATGAACCTTTAAAAACAGGTGCACCTGCAACAATTTTCAGTTCATAAAGGCCCCAACGGACAATATTAATTCATTTTCTGTGTGCACACTTTTTGTTTCTGGTCATTTTGGTCATTCATGTATATTTTCCTTTATTCACTGTAAAAATACAAGAGTGGTTACTCAACATTTATTTTTCATTTCATTTCCACATTTATTAATTTCTGTATTTCTGTATCATATGCAAATGAGTAAGGGTGCTCCTAACTTCAGTCTTGAGCAGGATTGGTCAATTGAGCACCTACTTGCACTTGTAGGCCTATAGTGTAGGAGTAATTAAGCACACTTCCTTGATACCTCTGAAACAAACTCATGTGTACTGTTACTTTATCCGACATGTTTGTCTGGTTTGATATGGTTAATATATATGATACTTTGAATGTTAATGGTTACTTACCATAAGTGTTATTGAAATACTGTCAGGGTTTTTCCTGAATAGAGAATTTGGTGGCGGCCGCCACCGCCAAATTCCTTACCGCCACCAGCTCACAGCTGGTTTTCAATCGGTAATTTCACCAAGGGTGTCCCTGGTCAGCAGTAGTTTAATTGGTAATAAATAATTTTTGTGCTTTTTATGGTTTTAATTGTCTGTGATCATTTTTTAATTATCCTAGGAAAGAGAAAACGGAGTTGGAAAAAGACTACAGGATTCATTTCCAGGACTCATAACTGTGCACTGTGTGGCACATCGCTTGAATCTTGTTGTGTCTGACTGCATGAAGGTGGGAGCACCATATATGCCAGAACTGTCTGAACTATCTTCTGGTTTTACCAGGCCTCCCCCAACAGGACTAACAGCCTCAAAGAAATGGAGAGGCTTTTTGAACTGCCCCAAATCAAACTACAGGTTAGCAGTATTCTGATAATTAACATATTTACTTTTTGAAAACGATGAAACTCATCCATGAATTTCATAGGAAGGGAACGCTACCAGGTGGGAGTCAAATAAGGAAGCAACAGATGTGATACGGAGGATTCTGCCTACTCTTGTTGCGGACCTCTCTCTCCAAGCCCGGACTGAACCAACAGCTCGGGGACTGTATTCCTTTGTAAAGCACGAGTTCTTTCCCCCTGCACTGTGCCTAAACAGGGTTTTTCCTGCATAGAGAATTTGGTGGCGGCCGCCACCGCCAAATTCCTTACCGCCACTAGCTCACGGCTGGTTTTCAATAGGTAATTTCACCAAGCGTTTCCCTGTCGGGATCTGTCATTTCATTCATATGTAACTGCAATTGCACGCAACCACCAGTAGTGGTGGTGGCGGCAGCGTTGTGTCGAAATTAGCACCGGCCGACATGTCAAACAAAGCATCTTTTACTGCCACATCCAGAGAGACGAAGAAGAGGAAGTTTTCACTGCAACAAACACGGATGATGTCAGATCAACAAAAAAGGGTTACTATTGTTTCTTCTGCACCCAAACATGTCCAGTTCCTTTGAAAAAGTTAATGTTTCATGCTACATAAATTCATATTACCAGTGTTAGTTAACAATATCAGTTTTGCAGGTATGGCGAAATGTAAGATCAGCAAATTTTTTACAAAACAAGTGTGAGAAGAGGAGAGACAAGACAGGTGAAGGAGTGTAGACACTGAAGACAGGGAGCTAAAATGCAATAATTTGTGTTATTGATGAGATGTGGTAAATTTGTCAGATACGTAAGCAATACAGCTCAGCCTCAGCCAGAAGCCGAAGACGAGGGTGATGAAGAGAGTGAAGCCCCACTGCAGGACAGCGAGTCAAGCCGAGGGTATTCAGGCAGTCATTGCGGTGTCAATATAAGTTGAAAATATAAATGACGTTATAATGATTTTACAGTAACTCTTTATTCTTTCCAGGTTTAAAAAACACAGAGCCAGTGGTTTTGACTCGCAATGGCTCAACACATTTACCTGGCTTAGAATGGCATGACATATTATGGTACAATCAATCAATAAATCACAACTCACCCAATATACATGAAAAATTGCCCTTTTTCTTTAAAAATGTTGAATTTGAATGGAATTCTCACATGATTATCTGGATAAATAAATATCAAGTGTTTGTGTCTTTGTTCTCACTTGTGCTCTACTTCACAACAAGTCACTGGAGGAGGTGCTTCTATGGCTTGTTTCCCCTGAACCCTCTCTACTGTATCCTGCTCTCAGCATTGCAGCTGCAATAGCCCTGACAGCACCTGTCCCGGCAGCAGATGTTAAGAGGCTATTTTCTGCACTCAAGATTGTAAGATATGATTGAGAACACCATCACAATTCATGTCTACACCAGAATAATGCAAACTTTATAATGCATGAACCTTTTTTTTTTTAAGATAAAAACACCCCTGTGCAACAGACTTAAGGAGAGGCACCTGGATGTATGCTGTAAGGTGGCCATTGATGGTCCAAACCAGGAGGTCTTTGAGTACAAAGACTCTACAGGATGAAACCAAGGAGGGTCACATGTTCTGCCACTGGCTGTGCTTTGTGCTGCCAGGTAAATGAACTGAAAGCTAAACAAAGCACATAAAAAATAAATGAATATGCTTTAAAATACTTGTTATTTTTTTTAATTCATGTAATTACAACTCCTAAAATAGGCTGCTAGTTAAACACTTGCTTGAGCCAGTTGAATGCACGGTACATGTTTACCTGTGAGCCCCTGATCAGGTACCACCATTACCTCATTTTTAGCCAGGAAAAACCCTGAATACTGTTCACATGAACAGTTTAACATATGAGTTCTTGAATGTTTAGTGCTCACATATATTTGAACATTGAATGTTGTACAACCAAAAAGTTTTGAGGTTTGATAAGATTGAGGATTTATGTGTGAGATTTGCAATATTTAGCATATTTGACATAAACCTTTGATAATGCATCTGAGAATAGAGTGTAATAGATATGACCTTGTTTATAGGTCAGGTTTTTGAGAGGACGGGGAAAATCTGGACCAGGACGAGATTGTGGTCGTGACAGATGGCGAGCCAGGAACGTTGAGGAAGAATCACAGCGAAGGAGGTACACCCTCATACACACATACTTTTACATTACACTTCCATGAACCTTTAAAAACAGGTGCACCTGCAACAATTTTCAGTTCATAAAGGCCCCAACGGACAATATTAATTAATTTTCTGCGTGCACACTTTTTGTTTCTGGTAATTTTGGTCATTCATGTATAATTTCCGTTATTCGCTGTAAAAATACAAGAGTGGTTACTCAACATTTATTCTTCTGCCTGATTCATTATTAGTGTTCAACATATTGGCTCCTAACAAATTTAGTGTCTTCTTATTCGGACCAGGGTCTTATTACTAGTCTAACTTTTTATAATGTAATTCACTTTTATATCACTAAAACTGGTTACACCTACCCCTGAGAAAAACAACCCTCATTAGCTTCGGCTACCAGAGTAAAACACAACATAGATCTATTATAAGCGTTGCTGACCCTGTTGTCTTTAATAACAGCTGTTGTAAAGTTTAATTCTGCATTTTGATACAACTGTTGACATGTGTATGAGAATAACTATTTTTTGAATATTCAACTAAAAACCAAATGCTTCTTGTGTACACCGGCAGGCGCATGCCCAGTTTTTGTGAGTGGTCATGTGCGTTTTCAGGTGTGTTGGGTCATACACCACCAGATTATGGAAGACGAGAAATGACTTAAGTATGTATAAATAAATGTGGGAATAAATAAATGTCTTAATTTTATTCCCCCATTTATTTATTTATTTCCACATTTATTTGTTTCTGTATTTCTGTGTCATATGCAAATGAGTAAGGGCGGTCCTAACCTCAGTCTTGAGCAGGATTGGTCAGAGGAGTGTGATGATCCAGTTCGACTACTTTTGCCTGTCAGTGCTGACTGTTGTGCAGTAGTTGTTGTTTGCAGTGTTGAGTCAGTTCCCACTTAAAAACGAGTTAATAGTATATCTTTTTTTTTTTTAGATGATTTAGTAACAAACACACGATCATGTGTTGAGTTATTAATCCATGGTGTCTGATCATGTCTGCGTGTCGCTCCGGTCATTTTGTCACTGAGTCCTGACTGTGAGCGTCTCCTCTCATGTTGTACTGAGTTACTTCATGTACTGATCAGGTCCTGACAGAATTAACTAGTGATGAGAGTTTATTAGTTAAAGTGAGAGCAGGTCAGAGTGGAGGAGGCACACACACACAGAAGATTCGCTAGGAACAGATTGCTTCTGTCTGGATCGCTTAATTGACCAATCCTGCTCAAGACTGAAGTTAGGACCGCCCTTACTCATTTGCATATGGACACTGAAATATAGAAATAAAAAAAAGTGGAAATAAATAAATGTCTTAAATTTATTTCGATATTTATTTATACATATATGTATTTATACTTAAGTAATTTCTCGTCCTCCATACCAGATAGCATAACATTATCTCAGTAATTAATTATGATATGAATGTTGCCTGTTATCAAGAATAATTGATAGTCTTTACACTGTTGTTTACATTTTAACTAGTCAGATCTGATACCTGATGGCGCTCAACTGTTCCCAGTCTTTCTCTCCCCTACTTCCGCCTCCCCACTATCCCTCTCTCTTCTCTCCCCTCTTTTCCACCCATCATTCCTCTCCTTCCCCCGTTTTCTTTGCTCACCCCAACCGGTCGAGGCAGATGACCGCCCACATTGTGCCTGGTTCTGCTAGAGTTTTCTCCCTGTTAATGAGGGAGTTTTTCCTCCACAGTCTGCTCATTGTGAGAACTGTTGGGTTTCTCTATATTTAATATTATTTTAAGGTTCTTTACCTTCTATGTAAAGTTCCTTGAGATAATATATATATTATGATTTGGCGCTATACAAATAAAATTGAATTGAACATTAAATACAAAAAGAGAGAATGAAATAAACGTGTTGTTCGTTTAGTAAAAATATTTTATGTAACAATTTAAAAGTCATAACACACAGCAAAAGACATTCAAATCAACATGAGCGGCTGAGGTGTGTCCTGCAGATCACAAGCATCCACTGAGTCCTCCACCATGTAAACAGTGTTGAAAAGAAGCTGCGATGTGATTGGCTCTCCTTCCTCCTGATAGGCCTCTGCATCTCCATGTTGTATTTTAGACATTCCTCATAGGATACAATAAATTAGAAAACCTACAGTTGTGGAGAGGCAGGCTTGTGGTAAACTTAAGGAGATTTTCAAGCGTGTGGGACACACCTCAGTTATGAAGAGACCTCTTTGGCACATAACACAAATCATAAAACGTGACGTAAAACAAACTGTAAACAAAACGGTTGTCATTACAAGATGCTTTTTTTTTTTTTTTATTGGTGGGTGGCGAACAACATAAAGGTGCATTACTGTCATCCACTGTGTCTTCTTCTTGTTCTTCGCAGTTCAAATAATTACAAACAAAGAGAAAAAAAAAAGAGATTTGGCAAATGTGACCGTCCCCCATTCGATAACACTTGTCTCAGTCTGCAAGGCCTCCGTGCGAAACCGCGTCATGGTAAATGTTAGCTCTCTGGGCGGAGGCAAAAACTGAAAAGGGGGTGGGGGTAAGTTTTCATTTTGAAGTCTAAACTGGTATGAGTCCTGTTTGTTCTTTCGACTCTCCATTTCAACTTTTGTGTTCGTCCTCCTCTGGTGTGTGAGACAGCTCCGTGGTTCTCGAGCCAAAGTCTCTTTAGTGCAAATAGGCTGTCAGCCGCCGCCTCCTCAGAGGGTGGATGAGGGGGAGGAGAAGGTCATTTTCGTGCCGGAGGCGAGGCTGTGTTTGGTTTGGCACCTGGGACCAGTCTGGAAGGAGAGAGTCCAGCTTGAGGTTAAACTGATAGAGCAGCACAATGACTCACTGACATTGTTTTAGAGAATAAGCCTGGAAATATTCTACACTTTTCTTATGTCAACAAATCCCATGTGCAGAGCCAAAGCAACAATCAGTGTCTCCTGCTAGCAAGTCGTGTGTGTGTGTATCAGAGCCTGGTAGATCTCATTCCTCTCTGTTGACCACAACCCATTACAACACTGCAGCTTTATGCAAAGGGGATGTGATTCCACTGCAGCCTCAGACTCTCCACTCTGCTGGGAATCAAATCTATTTATTATCCATCAGTTATCCATTATCATAAGAACAGGTATTAACAGCACAAATACCAGCGATCAGTAAGTGAGCACCAAAGACACTGATTTAAAGCCTGTTCTCCTGCTTTCCCTGCAGATTTGGACCCTTCTGTGAAAGCAGGGACGGCCTGTCCACACCTGCCATTCCCCTGTGTCCTGGCTGAGCCAATGTTAAGAAAAATCAATAAGTGGAGGTAAGTATGAATGTTTTGTCCGTGGCAAAATATAAATCAATGTATGTGATTAAGTTAGAAGTGCAAAAATGTGTAGCGGGACAGAGGAGAGGACATATTTGAATTCACACAACAAACATGGTCACAATGGGTGTTATTCTCTCCCTCACATGTTTTTGCTGATTACAGACAGTGTAAAAAATCAAGTAGCAGTTAGCCCAGCCAGCATGGAAGAACCTGACCTGAAGTCCAATATCATTTCAGGGGGGGTCGTGTTGGGTATCATCCCCACTTTATGATGAAAACTTCCTCATGAAAGCAAAAGGTGGAAACACAATCAACCGTTCAACCATGAATATGAGGGGGCGACACCAGCCAGCGTGCCAAACTGGGCCAAACCTCGCGTCCGGACAACCAGCGCCAGTGGAGCACGTCCCAGAAAACCACACCGGTGTCACCACATACGACAAGACAAGTAAGACAAGTAAGAGATGGAAAGATATCTCTCTCTCTTACACACACCTGACTATTTCACTTTGTACTCCCATAGTCTCTCTCTCTCTTTTTCTCTCTCATTTCCGATATCTCTGACCCCGGAACCTCAGGACAAAAACATCATTACTATTATTAATTACAATATCTCAGTAATTAATTATGATATGAATTGTGCCTGATGATGCTCAAGTGTCCCCGGTCTTTCTCTCCCCACTATCCCTCTCTCTTCTCTCCCCTCTTTTCCACCCATCTCTCCTCTCCTCCTCCCGTTTTCTTTGCTCACCCCAACCGGTCGAGGCAGATGACCGCCCATGTTTCTCTTTATTTAATAGAACCAGGGTTCTAGAGGTTTCTCCCTGTTAATGAGGGAGTTTTTCCTCCACAGTCACCAAAGTTCAATTCAATTCAATCGTATTTATATAGCGCCAATTCATAATTTACATTATCTCAAGGCACTTTACATTTAAAGGTCAAGACCTTAAAACAATATTAACGTAGTTCCCACAATGAGCAAGCACAGGCGACTGTGGAGAGGAAAAACTCCCTCATTAACAGGGAGAAACCTCTGGTAGAACCAGGCTCAATGTGGGCGGTCATCTGCCTCGACCGGTTGGGGTGAGGAAAGAAAAGTAAGGGGGGAGGAAAGGAGAGATGGGTGGAAAGCGGGGGAGAGAAGAGAGAGATGAGGTCTGGGTTCGGGAGCCAGACACTGTCGCAGCATTTAAAGTAAAACTAAAAACCTTCCTCTTTGACAAAGCCTATAGT